CTTGGGGGGCAAAGGGGGGCAAATAAAAAAAAAAAAAAACGTTTTTAAAAAAGGGGGAAAAAAAAAAAAAATTAAAAAATTTTTAAAAAAAAACAAAAAATGGGGGGATTGTTTCCCCAATTTTTCTTTTTTGCGGGGGCAATGGGTTTTTGGTTTAGGGGAATTTTTTTAATGCAGAGAATTTTTTTAGGTTTTGGGAAATTAGGGGGGAGGTGCGGGATTCAAAACTGTTGGGGCCAGAGGGGGTTTAAGGGAAAGGGTTTTGAGGTGGGTTCGGGGAAAGTAGAGAGAATGGAGCGAAACAGAATGACCCTTCCCAAAAGTGTATCGTCGAGTGGGAAGGAAGGCGGGGGGTTTTGGGGTCGGCCTAGGGAAAGGGGTTTGGGGGGAGGGGGGGAAAAGGGGTTTTTTTTGTGCGAGGGGCTTGGACTTCCCAGGCAGCGTGAGGTGTTTGATAGGGTGAGGAGACAAAGGGTTTTTTAATACTTGACGTGTGTTGGGTGTGAGCAAAGAAAACATTTATAAAGGGGTTCAGGGAAACCCGCAGGCGGACTGAGTTGGAGTGGGAAGTACGTGCTGCACTCTGAAGGGGGGTGTTAATGTTGCAGTTTAAAAACTGTAGTGTAAAGCCCCTTTGGAAAGACAGGATGGAGTGAATGATGGTGAAATTTTTTCTTTTTCGGGCCCCCCTGCCTTGGGGGGAATCGGCCGGTTATAAAAAAAAAAAAAAATATATAGTGGACTTGAGTCCTGGAAATGGAAACAATCCCGCACTTTAAAGGAGGGGTTTTGGGGAATTTGGGCGTTTGGAGGGATATGTTGTGTATCTTTATATGTGTATGCTTCTAAACTGTTGTTTTCTGAGCACCTCTGCAAAAAAAGTATAAAGTGCGAGTGTGGTGAAAGTGTTTAATGATGATGAAAAAAATTTTTTTTTTGGGGGTTTTCTTTCTTTTTGGGTCACCCTGCGTGGTGGGGACGGGGGCCCACTTGTTGAAAAAAAAAAATTAAAAATATATATATATATTATTGTTTGATATGAGAGGGGTGGGGTTAAATTTGGGAATCAAATTCAAAATGGGAAATTGACCAGTTACTTTTGCTATGATACGTGCTTATGGGGATTCCCAAAGAAAAAAATTTCAAAAGGTTTAGTGGATGAGTTTTTTGAATGTGTGTAAAGGTAGAAAGTTGAAAATGAAAAATGAAAAGAGTAAAGGGGATGAGGGTGTCAAATGATTTGTAAGAAAATTGGATATCAAATTGGGGGGAGGGGGATATGAAGAAGTGAATGTTTTCGTTTCTTGGGAGTTGACGTGTCGGCGGATGGATTTTGAAGGATGGGTTAATCATAGAATTGATGGGGAAAAAAGGTGAGTGGGCGTTTTTGGTATATGTGGAGTCAAAAAAGTTTTTATGGGGCAAAGAAAGGGGAAAGTATGGGGGAAATATAGTAGTACCCAAAACCATATGGGTGTGAAATTGGGTGGTAAAAGCAGCAGCGAGGAGACGGTTGGAGGCAGTGGAGATGTCCTGTTTTAAGGGCAATGTGTGGTGTAAATATTATGCAGAAAATTCGGAGTGTGGAAATT